TACATCACCAAAACAGTCTCACCCGATAAATAAGTGGCGTAGGCCGCAAACACCTCCTCTGTCAAATTCCTGAGAAAGTGGTGCCTCACGTCTATGTGCTTACTGTTACACGAACTGAGGGGACTCTCAGCAAGTGCAATCGCATCCTCGTTGTCCTCTCGTACCTGAATCTTACCGATTCTACCACTAGGCCTCAAGAACTCGAGCATTCCGTTGACAAAGAGAGCCTCTTTTACACCGTCACTGATCGCAACATACTCTGCTTCAGTTGTTGAAAGTGTGACACATTTCTGCGTCCTAGAAATCCAAGCAACAAGACAGTCAGCTACAAGAACTAGTGCTCCCGAAACTGATCTACGGTCAGTGGCCCTACTGGCGAAGTCTGCGTCTACGTACACCAACGTGCTTACGTCTACCATAGTGTCCTGCTTGTACGTCAAAGTTGAATGTTCCGTCTCCAGAAGATAATTCAGAATCTTCTGGGCCGCCTTCCAGTGGCTTCTCTTTGGCTCGTGAGAATGCCTCGCCACCGCCCGCACAGCATTAGAGATGTCGGGCCTCGTCTGGTTGGCGATCCACATCAGGCTCCCCACCACCTCTCGGAACGGCACATCTCCTGCCCCCTCATCCTCCATCACGGACCTGTAATCGTTAGCAGGGGAAGCAGGGATCGAGCTGGTGCGNGCAACGCTCTTTGAGACATCTCAATCTTGCCAGCCTCGCGGTCGCGACTACATGCGCAACCATGAAAGAACTTGACCTCGCCGAAATTCTTCGTGTGAAAAGAGTCACCTAGCGCTTGCACAACTATCTTGGCAAGGCTCTCAATTCCTCCACACAGAAAGTCATCCACATGAATCGCGATCACACCCATCACCTCGTTTCTCATCATGAAACGCAGAACACAGGGGTCAGAAAGAGATTGTTCGACACTAATCCTCTTCAGGTCCGACACAAATCTCTTTAGAAATGTTCTACATGCTTGCCTCAGTCCATCCAAACTCTTGTCGAAGCGGACGACCTTTCCTGACATCGACTCGCAGCCAGGAGGCAACTTCATGAACACCTCATGATCCAATTCCGACTGAACAAACGCTTGCTCAATGTCAAAGTGGAGAAATTCCAAATCGTACTTGCACGTCAATGCTACCAACAAACGAATCGATGCAGCATTTGCAGTAGGCGAGAAAGTCTCAAGATAATCCACACCATACTTCTGCTTGAAGCCCTTCGCTACAAGCCCAGCCTTGGCCTTCACTATCTTGGCCTGTTTTGTCTACTCTCCATTTGTAGACCCATCTAGCATCTATCACGTTACAGCCTATCGGGGCCTTTACTGCTAACGCGAACGTTCCTGCTCTTAACAAGCCTTCAAACTGTGCAGACATGGCTTTGTCCCAAATCACGGCATGCTTTGACTGGCGGGCTTCTCGGTAGCTACCAGGCTCTGTCTCTACATCCTGAATGAGCTCTCTCGGCAGTTCCATTGTATCAGACGCTCTCTGTTCCACTAAGAGTGCTTCTATAATTTCAGATGCGGAAATAGGTCCTAGGTTGGCCATGAGACCCGATACGATCTGATGGTTTACGGCCCGAGTTTGCGCACGGGTTCTGCCTTCTCTGACTTCAACATTCTCGTTCGCAGCAGTGTTGTAATTAGCAAGCTCATGCCGCGCAAGACGATTATATGGTACGTGCGTAGCAGGGGAAAATGACTCCGATTCTACCTCCTGCCCTCCCGGCTCAACCAACTCTTCATCCAACCCTTCCTGACTCTCCGACTCTACCTCCTGCCCTCCCGGACCCGCCGATTCTGCCTCCCCTGTCTCCGGCCCTCCCTGTCCTTCCTCATCGGTGAACTCGTCTGCTGGAGAAGACACAGGGGGGGCTGCGCTACTGGGGGAATTAATCGCGGGCGAAGAGGGCACAGAGGGGGGTTGACCTACACTGCCTGCATCAATACTGCCAACTTCATCGATTGCTCCACCAGAGACCGTTACATTACGCCGCAAAAGAATGTGGGGAACTCCTTCCTCTACTTTTGGGGAACTCCTCTACCTAAAAGCGGCCATACTTCAGCTTCTACATCGTCGTCACGTTCCTCCCCTCCCTCCTCTGCGACCTCAATCGGCAAGAGAGACGGTTGCGGTGGAGGGAGTTGTGACGGCAACGCTTCCCACGTCACATTCCTCGTTTCCTGGATAGTTCCAACGCTCGTAAGTACTCTTATGACAGTCACGCGGGTGGTCTCTCGAAGGACCGACAAAAAAGCAAGCCTCACCCTTCGGCAGCAGCTTAGACGGTCGCTGCCACCTACAGTAAGCCGGTTTCAAAACGGATACGGTCTACCAGGACTAACTTCACCATGCCACATCTCATACGGCGACTTCCTATCGGGGTTAGCGGAANGATAGTTCCAACGCTCGTAAGTACTCTTATGACAGTCACGCGGGTGGTCTCTCGAAGGACCGACAAAAAAGCAAGCCTCACCCTTCGGCAGCAGCTTAGACGGTCGCTGCCACCTACAGTAAGCCGGTTTCAAAACGGATACGGTCTACCAGGACTAACTTCACCATGCCACATCTCATACGGCGACTTCCTATCGGGGTTAGCGGAACAAGCTGTGTGGTTAATTGCTTCGCAAGTCCAGTGCATCGCCTCAGCCCATGGTCTATCAGTCTTAGGTAATTGCACATGCCAAACATATATATAAATACTGCCTGAATACGGGCAGCCATTGCTGCCGCCTCAATCAATCCCAAACCACGCTCTGCAACACCGTTGTATTGGGGACTGTAAGCCGGGGTGAACTCTTGCTTAATCAAGAGCTCGTTGCACACGGACGCGAATTCTCCTCGGACAACCTCCCCCCCATTGTCAGATCTAACAATCTCAACCAATGATGGGATACCATCAGCAAGCACACTTGCGAGGAAACTCCGGAAAGCACTCGCAGCGTCTGATTTACTTTTCAGGAAATATATCCATGTACGTCTTGTGAAATCATCCTTCACTATCATGGGGTAATGATTACCCCCTACGGACGCAACGTCCTTCCGCCCTCCCAGGTCAACAAACACTCTGCCCAACTTTTTGTCCGATCTGCATTTTGTTTCATGAGCAATTCCTTTTTTGAATGCCTTCGACATCGAACATCCCGTACAGGCATGCATTTTACCGGTCAACTCCATACCTAGTCGTTTTGATGTTGTACGAAGTAATCCCTCATGTGAATGAGCATTAGTGTTATGAAACTCGTTGACATCCATCATCGTTGCTTTGGGGTCTAGACGGGTGAAGGAAGCTAACACCGAACCAACAGATTCATCACCCAGACGATACACAATAGCAACAACCATGCCATCGAAGTTCTGAAAAACAACTGTTCTGTCGAAAGTAGCCACTATACCATCAAGACCACCGAAGCTATTTCATAACTTGCCATCAAACACTGCGCTGGGAGAAAGGAGGTAGCACAAACCTTCAACTCTACTGAACACTCGAAGTCAGCCATCACAAACACTTCCTCCAGGGTTCCAGATGGTCTACTTCACCAGCAACGCCATCAATCCCTCATGCGTTCTACTAGCAGCAAGATTTCACATCTTTAACGCCAGAGAGAGAGTCTGTCATGTGGAAAACCGTGCCTGTAACACCATTCGCGACATATCTGTTTTGAGAAAATAGCACAATGTCAGACTTCTCACCGTTCTCTTTTCTTCCTGGCGCAGCACATCCACACTGAATCCTTGCTGTACCGAGGGGGTCAAGTCGAATTCAAAGATTGCAATCGGAATCTCATGCGTAGACACACACAGCGCTTTAAACAGACTATTGTGGAGGGCACCCAGCAGAAAATGTTTTGACCACAGCGGATACGAGACAACATCAGTCCCGTCAAAAACAACAGGAGCTATGGGAACTTTGACAAAAGGGCTCCTACCCAACTTCTCTCCTGTGTCTGAAATGCCAGCCCCAGGAATATTCATAAGTGTTTCCACTGGCGACACGTCCCCACCACTCACCCGGTGGAAAAGATGGGGGCGGAATGGAAAACTGGCTATCNGACAAAAGGGCTCCTACCCAACTTCTCTCCTGTGTCTGAAATGCCAGCCCCAGGAATATTCATAAGTGTTTCCACTGGCGACACGTCCCCACCACTCACCCGGTGGAAAAGATGGGGGCGGAATGGAAAACTGGCTATCAAAAGCCCCACTTCCCATTCCCGGAATGGAAGACTGACAAACTGTTCGTGAGTCTGCGAACATTGCTGTTGGATACATGTGCTGGATGATTT